AACTAAAGTGAACTACTATGAACTACCTATGCTCTTCTGCTTAATGTAACGAGCCTGTGTGAGGTCAGAATATCTACAAGACAACAATTATCTTTTCACCTCTAAGTTATTTTACCGTATAACTAGAGGTAAATTTAAAAAGTGACATGATCAATCTATTTCTAACCCGATACTTCTATAAAGTTAGAAGTTCTTCCTATAAAGCCACATGGCGCTTTTCTATATTTTATTTTTATTCATTTAATTATTTAAATCAATATTTCTTCAGGGGCATCCAATTTCCTAGAAGTAAAACATAAAAGTACTAGATATAATATTAAATTGAAAGTAACGTATATAGTTTTTTTTTTTCTCTATTTTGAAACTGTAATCTTCTCAGTTTCCCACAGTATCGAGATTTTAATGCATGGTTTAACACGAAAACTTGCTTATTAATCGTCTATGTCAGTTTCGCGTAGAAGGGACACAAGCTTATATCTTTTGTCACCTAAAGAAACTACAATAATTTTATCTTTTTAAGACGCCTCCCATATTTTCAAACTTTACAGGAGAGGTCTGAGAAGCATTGTCGCCCTACTCCCCTTGTTGGGCGTTACGTACATAGTGGGCTTTTTTTATCGAGTTCCATCTTGCTTTGGAATACGTTTTTCTATTGCTTAACACCACACAGGTATTTGTTTTGATCTCGTTCTGGTAAGTTGTCCTTTTCACCGATATATGTCTATGATGTGTTTGACTAGTGGATGATGCATTTCATTCTCACTCAGTAACATTCAACTTCGGATAGGAAAACAACTTGGGATCTCTACATCTGACACTAAAGTAGTATGTTGTGATTGGGAAAGTAACTAGAGTCAAATCCCACGCCGATAACACTGCTTGTTGAGCTTTTAAAGTTTATGACTGCAAAAATATAAATAAATAATAAATAAATAAATAGAATAGTAATAATGAATAATCTAAAATATCTCTTTTCGACAACTTGAAGGCAAAGATTGGCACAACCCTCTCATCCCCTAAGTATTTGTTGTTGTTGTTGTATTGTCGTTTTTCGTTTGTTTCGTTTCGTTTCTTTGTCTAAAATGTATAGATAATAATGTTCTCTGCAGCTCTTTTTAAAGTCTTACCGTATTTTTCTTCCAGATTGCGNTTTTTTTTTTTTTTTTTTTTTTTTTTTTTTTTTTTTTTTTTTTTTTTTTTTTTTGAAGCCAGATACCTTAATGTGTCCTAAAACAATAACTGCAGCGTTGTCTGAGGAAATTTGATTCATGTCAATGTCAAATACTAATTTATTCTTTCATGTTCTTGTTGTGTTTTTACAGGGAGTTGTGTTTTTCATCTTTCATTGTGTCCTTGATGATCAGGTAACATAAGTCAATATTAATGGTGTGCAAGGGGGAGGGGAAGGAATTCATGTATCGGGGCTGGGGAAGGATGCCACCACCATCCTGGAAGTTTTTTTTGTTTGTTTGTTTTTGTTTGTTTTTGTTTTGTTTTGTTTTGTTTTGTTTTGTTTTTTGTAGAGTTTTGAAAAGACTATTTACTATGTACTTTTGAAACTTTCAATGGCTGTTCATTCATCCCTCACCAAAATTTTGTTGCATCACCTGTTTCTCCGCCTTATTTAGTATTGCCATAGCAACTGCATTTTTACTGACCTTAATTAGGTCAAGTCAAACTTCACTTCTTGGACGAAACTCTTTTCACCCTTTTCTTAGGCAGTATTGCAGAATGTGTACCTCTTTGCATCATTTCACTTAAAATGAAATAAAATCCAAGGCCCCAGATCCAAGACGGCGGACTTGATAAGACGTTGCACGGCGTTATGGCCAAGAAAAACATCCCATCTTATTGACAAAGCTGAGGGCTATTTATGAAATTCAAAATTGATTTTCACATGTCTTATTACAATGGTCCCCACCTGGACTGTCTGGGAATCAGGCAAAATCCTATCATGCTCGCTTAAAATACTCAGGAAGACAGAAACGGTACTTAATCATATTTCAATGTCTTTAAGGTGCAGGATGCTACTCGGAAGTTGTTTGTAAAATGCAGAGCAGATTCTAAGACAAGGACAACACCAGCCTCCAATCCCAATACAAAACCTGTTGTGGAAAGAAACTCCTGTATGATATTGGTGTGCTTTAGGTAACAATGTTTTTCATGACTGTTGTTGTTGGTTTGTTTTTGTTTCTATTGCTTCACTGTTATTCTTCAAGATGTTTCTCATCTAGTGCAATTGACACAAATCAAAAGTTTGTTCAAACTGCGCCATTGTATTCCATTCATGTGATAGAATCATATTCCGTCAGGTTACTTTCGTATTCCTTACTTTCCGGCCATCAAAACTACTACTACTACTACACGAAACACGAAAGAAATTTGAATGAATTCAATTCTCATTCTAGTCCGGTCCTTTAAAAACCAGACTTTACCATCTTGTAAATTAATCAAATTCGCCAAAATTCCTCTTTCATTTGATGGCGCTAAGATTTGGTAGAATGCGCGACAAAGAGAAGTTTAAAACTAGTCTCCCTGCAAATTTGAGCTAAGACAGTTTAATGTGGCCTACACGACGATTTCTCTTAGATCAAGGCATTCAAAATGGTCGACACTATTGATCGAGCGATTTGCCCAATTTGGGCGATTTGTAAAGATCCAGAAGTTGTTTTTTGAAGCTGACAACAATCCTAAAGGTATTTGAAGTAAACACTAAAGTATTTTCATGGTCAGTTCGAAATTAGAAAATTTGAGGTAAACGAACTTACGCGACACTCCACGACAGCTCGCATGTGTTTCGCAATATACAGTCATGTTGATCAAATGCGACTTAATTCGCTTCGGATCGCCTTTTTTCTATTTAGAATCTCGACATATTATTGACCTATCTCTGTTGAATCGTTTTTGGGAGCGCAAAGCTCAGAAACTTTGGAAAAAAGCTTCATTTCGTTGAGACAATAGATTTTTGGTAAGGTCTGAGTTAATATTCTTTTAGGAAAATAACTCATCACTACATCAAATGTGACCAGGAAAGTAAATGTACAATTATTATTTATTTATTGATTGATTTATTTATTTATTGNTTTAATTCGATTAGTTATTCACATAAATAAATGAATAAATAAATAAATAAATAAATAAATAAAACTAGCTTCCATGACGGCAAACTTTTCTTCCTAGAAAGTATTTTTTATGCTCCTTTAAATGAGATGTAGTAGATTCCTCTTCTGTGGATCTCTATTGAGATATTAAAGAAACAAATTATACGACATTTTTGTACGTTTTGGGGGTTGACTAGAATGAAAGAGAGGCAACCGACACATGCATTTAATAGGACAAAGGGATGTAATATCTATGTTAAGCGTATATATGATACGCGCTTGCTTAAACCTGCGTTTTTTGTCTTATCCCGATATACCTGTGAACTAGTATTTGGAAAGAACAACTTCAAAATGAAGCAAAATTTCTGACACACATCACTCAGGAAGTTTCAAATTTGACGCAACTCTAGTGACGCAACTTCTTCCTATTACCAACATTCACTCTGGCTGAATTATTCTGTGCGTGGTGTGCTGTTTAAGAGTCCAACTCTAGCCGAGCCTATGTACAACTGTTTCGACAAAGGTTGTACAGGAAAGCGTATTAAGTCTAAGCGAAAATGCCGTAAAGTATTATCGGAATAGGTAGTTTATCATTACTTGATTGAGGCTCATAGCAACAAGGAAGGAGAAAGAATGAGTGCACATGTCTACGCGGTCTCCTTCTAGTATGCTGAAACATCGCTTTTACTTTACAGTAAACTTTTACTTCCCACAATACCTCTCGTCATTGTTGTATACACGTTGACCCTCTCTCTATTCGGTGAATGAATTTTTATTGTGATTTTTCCCTCCTGACAGAGGAAAGGAAGAAGACGAATGATGTGGCAATGAAGTATTGAGTCACTCGCAGCTAGCACACTGATAGTAAACGTCAATGGAAGTACACATGCACTCTTGTAGTTTGCTCGTTTTAAATATTAGAAAAATGTAGTTTGCTGATCTTCAGTTACCGCAATACTGTAATGGCAATACAAATGGTTTCGCTAAAATTGCCCGCACTGCGAATTGCTATTTGTCTGCTGGCAACAGCTCGCAAAGATTTCCTTTGTCGTCTGATTCAACCACAAAATTTACTGAGTAACATTATAATGCACTTGTGAATTGCCAGTCAAGAATACAGGCCATGGAATCATGAACTTTAAAGGACGTCTAGATCTGATAACACTCAAATCACAATTCATAATCCATTACCACTTAGGGAGTAGTTAAAAAAAAATTTAGTCAATCAATCAATCAAACCATAAGTCAATCAATCAATTGTAATCAATCAATCAATCAATCAATCAATCATAAAGAATTAAAAGTCAAGGCAATCCTTGCATACGGTGGCTGCGCCCGAAGTACGAGCTGCGGTCAAAACGGCACGATACGATAATAGTCTTTTTCTTTACAGCTAACAAAAAATTAAAAATAATTCTAAGTTGCTTTGGCTTCATCTTATACTCAACTCAAGAATTCTGGTTTTAATTAACTCGACGAGGAACAGCATATTTTGTTCAAAATGTGCAAAGTGACAACTATTATCCTATCTGGCGACAGCGATCGAAGAGCGAGTTGAATTGCCGAACGCCGACGACCCATTTTTGGCCCCAAATTAAAAGGTCGGAGACGCAAAATGTTTCATATTTTTCACGCTTTACAATCTGATATGGCTTTTGGAGTCAAAAAGAAAAAAATCCTTTTTCGTGAATATTTAATGCCGTCTCCAGCGTTCGATATATCAATATTCTAACAAGGCTTCGAGGCTTTCAGGACAAACTTCTACGTTTGGTGGTATTTTCTTTGTATCCAAGTCTCGTTTGGGCATTGAGGAAAAAAATAACAATTTTGACTCGAAAGCGTCGGATCGATGTTGGAATATTGGTGTTTCGAACGTGGCCTATTGACATGCATTTGACGTCAGGACAGTAGAGTTTTTCCCGCCTGCAGAATCCTGACTGTTAATTCATATTTCAGGCGCGCCCGCCGTATGCAAGGCCATATTGTTATTACCATTATTGCTACTTTTTTTTAATTTTTGTCACTAATTTAGTGCACGTAATAATTTACTCGTGTTATTTTCCTAAGTATTGTTAGTATCGTTGTAACTAAACTTACGATATTGTGAGAAATGCGTGTT